TCTTGAGTACTTATGAATTCATGCAATCCATATTGAACTCACATTTTCTTACTTTTTATTAAATTTACTGTATATATCATTCTTGAAGTGAAATATTATTTAATTTGTTTTGTGTGTATATTTTCATCCCCTAGAGTTTGTAAAATATTGAGGTCAGACATTAGGCATTGTTATGTATCAGTGATGGCTAAATTAAAAATTGTCTGGCAAATCTTAAAAACATGGTAAAATAATAATTTTTATGCAAGGGTTTTAGTCTTTTCACTAACTGGCTCACAAATAGCCTCCAGTTATCTTACATATTTCCCAGTGTTGGCCTAGGCAAAATTGTAAAGTTGGCAGAACTTTTTTGAGACTTCTTTCCTTTAAATTTTCCTCTATCTCTCTGTCCCCCACCCCTAAATGTTACCTAATTTTGAACTCACCCAAATGTATCTTTTTTAAAATAATGGCTTTCCTTGGGTTGGTCACCTCATGGAGATTTATGATTTTAAGGACTTCAACCTACCTGGAGCCTTTTTGATCACACCACCTGTACCACTTTTGACAACCCGTACTATTCATATTCCCCAAAGAAATTATTCCCTGATGCAGCTTGTCCTTTGAAAAGTATACTATACCATACTACTATTAGCTAATGTCCTAAACTAACACAGAGAATAAAGAATAAGTTTTAAAAATATTTAATTAGTACATTTTATCCTCCTCCTTGATCACTAACATTTTTATTATAATAAAAATTTTGGAGAGAATGTTCTTACCTTGGCCGGATTACTTTTTAGGATGATATTTAAGATCTAATATTAGACTGTAACTTTTTACTTTTTAATGGGAAAAACTGTGATTACTTTTGCACCAGCGTAATAGAAGGAGAAGAGAACCAATGTTGGAAATATTTTTATATCATAAAATTATATGAATCAAGCCTAGTCTCATAGAAGGAGAATACCCCAAATATTTGTTGAATTCTTGATTATTCACACCCAACTGGCAAATCTCTGACAGTTTTATCAGATCTGCTCACAGAAATATACCGTTTTCTACAATTCTATCCAATCTTTTTCTATTGATAGCTTATCCTATTAATGTAATATCATAATATTAATATATTAATGGTCTGGTACCTAAATTTTTACTTCCTTTGCCCATTGCATGACATATTTTAGAGTTGGTGAATCCACAACAACATAAAGTAACATTTCAGTCCCATTCTCTAAAACTGGTGAATCAACAAAAACACAAACCCTGTTTTATCTTCACCTTACATATAATCGCACTCCAATAAACCACACTGGGAAGACGATATATCTGTAAAAGAGTCAGTGAATCCTGTGCTTTAAGGAACTCCATATGTTTTATATCCTTGTGTTAATGAGGCATAAAATTGAAACTATGGCGTGAAAAATATAAAAATATGGAAAGGTTTTTTTGTTTGTTTGTTGTTGTTGTTGTTGTTTTTGAGATGGAGTTTCGCTCTTGTTGCCCAGACTAGAGTCAATGGTCAATGGCGTCATCTCGGCTCACCACAACCTCTGCCTCCTGGTTTCAAGTGATTCTCCTGCCTCAGCCTCCCGAGTAGCTGGGATTACAGGCATGCACCACCACGCCAGGCTAATTTTGTATTTTCAGTAGAGACGGGGTTTCTCCATGTTTGTCACGCTGGTCTTGAATTCCCGACCTCAGGTGATCTGCCCACCTTGCCCTCCCAAAGTGTTGGGATTACAGGTGTGAGCCACCATGTCTGGCAGAAAGTTTTTTTTTAAAGGAATTTACGTAAAGTGTGTTTACATTTAGGAGCTGAAGCACTGTTTTCAGAAATGCCAATTTGATACTAGGGATCATCATGCTGTTTTTCCATTACCTTTAACTCAGAAATAAGTGGCTTGGAACTAAAATTATTTACCATTTGGACTTTGAAAGCTTGATCAAAGCAAGACACATATTTAAAAGAGAATCAAGTCTTAAACCAGATTATTAAAAGAGCCCTAAATTTTTGTTTCAATCACATATCATAAATAGTCGAACATATTTATTAAAGAGAAATATTTGTACATCATTTCAGCAAACTATTTTGATATTTAATTGGAAATGACAGACCATATTGAAGTTTATTAAAAGAATCTTTTTAATAGTAACTTCACAGACACCACAACCACTGCCATAGCCTCCATTAGTAAAACTAAAGGTGAATTTGTGATTTAATAGAATGGTAATAAATAGAATTGAAAACAGATCCAAATCAGGAATGATGTGGCCAGCTAGACGTGAGTTGGGGAAATTTTGATTTTTGCCTTCCTACAGGTAAAAGAAAAACCAGCAAGCATTGAATCATTAGTTCATAAATTAGAGAGCATTTGTTAAAGAGGACCCCCTTGTGAATAGGCTTGTATGATGGGTTGGGAAAAAAACATAGATATAAATCAAAATAAAGAAACTGTATGCTTCTCTAAATCTTATCCAAGTTTTGGTATAAAAGTTAGACTGGAAACTCCCCAGGATATTTTTTTCTTGGGATGTTTCCAATCTGTTTCATTTTCAACTAAGATAGAAAAAACATATCACAATGACAGTCTTCAGGGCAAATTATGTGAAACCATGAAAATGCAGAAATTTTGTTTGTTTTTCCAGTGAAAATTTCTGAAATCTGAAAATGCTAAAGTTCATAATAGAGAGTTCAGATAGCCAGAAACTTCAATCTAATTTACTTAAATCCAATTAAAGAAAGTTATGATAAATGGCTCTCTTATGTAATATTTCTGCAGGTAATTTTGTGCTCATCCAGTAGTATGATTTCTGAAACCTGAATATCAACACATGCTTGTAATGTCTTTAGGATATGAAAATCACACATACATGCATATATTTATATACAAACACTCTCTAAAATAACCAGACATTGTTAAAGAGACCCTCTTCTCATACCACAGCTATATTCAAATGATATTTATGAACCGTTTAGACTTCTTCAAATTGTATTGGCCCCTTGGGGTACACTGAAATCACAATCTGTTTATCAGTTTTTTTCTTGGGTTCTGTTATCTGTGTTCTTTGCTTCCATCTGTCTTTTCCTTGGTTTCCTATCCCCATTTTTCCCATACATTATTATTCTCCTTTATTGCCTTTTAATATTTCCCTTAAAAATAGTTTTACGTTTTGAAGCTTGTTTGTTCTCATTCCCTTTTTTAGATGGAATGACAGAGAGGACACTTTTCTAATTGTTTAGTGTGATTATTATAAATATCCAAAATCAGAGGACAAAAGATATGGATGCTAGTGTGATCTGCCATACAGCATAAAACAATGCAATTATTTAAAAATCAGACTTTTATATTGTTGTTTATCTTTTATAATTTTCAATAAATATTACTCTCATAACTTAAATACAGTTTTTATTGAAGTTTAACATACCTTTTTTTAAATAATAATTTTATTGTCTTTTTTGTTTCCAGAAGTGAAATGAGCTTTTTTCTTTTTAGTCTGCTAAATTATATTATTTTACTGATGAGTCAAACAAGCTTCTATTAGAATAAAGTAATTATTTACAGAGAAATGATAAAATCTGAAAAGGATCATAAAAATTTTTAATCAAACAATGAATGAATTTTGGACAACTTATGGAAATATGGAAAATAGATGTGATAATTTTAAATTTTTAATCCTGTACTTTATTTTACAAGTTTGCTGCAAATGAATTAGGGATATTAAAGAAACATTTGCTCAAGAGATTTTCATTATAAAAAAGTTCCAATAAATTATTTTAAAAATATAACTGCTTAGGCAATTCCTAACTTACTGGGTCCCTCTAACGTGAGTCTACACTTCTATCAGTAGACTAGACTATATTTCTACTACCTGTCTGGGCACATGAAGTTAGAATATCTACTTCTAAACTATAAGTATTCATATAAATAAGAGTTTATGTTTTATTTTCTTATAAAAGAGATCAATAATAATCATCTGATTCTGTACTGGATAAAAATTATTCTTCAGGGAGACTGTCTGACATGGGGAAGAGTGAGAATTCTAGAGGCAGATCAGATTGAATCCTACTTCCAACCATAACAAAACCATGACTTTGGGTACAGTAACCTCTCAGAGACTCCCTCATTTGTTTAAAAAAAAAAAGAAAGGTGATAATAATAGCAATATTGACCTTACAGTGTCCTTGTAGGACTCAAAAGAAATGATTGTGTAATGCTCTTTACATAGTTTGTCATGTAGCAACTGTTCAATTACCATCATCATCATGATTAACAATGGTAGCCACACACTGTTTAACATGGGAAAATAGCTCTCAGCAACATAGGAAAATAGATCCAACAGCCTGATTTTTGGAAGTTAGTTATACGCATTCTGATTTCTTGTGCATTTTTTTTTTCTTGTGAAAAAGAGTGGTAACACAGAAAACCCTAAAGTTTTGATGGGCTAAGGTGCCTGAAATAATAAGTAATATACAGAAATACCTAGATGAGGACATTTTCCATAAAAATTGGCTTCAAGAACATTAAAATAAATGTCCAATTGGAGAATGTCAATCTGCCTGACAGTGTAAATCTCCTTAAAGCAATTTAATTCAGATTAAAAAGATAACTTGGCTTATGTAGCAGAATGAGGGATCTGTTTCAAATCTATCACGTTAACACTATCAATAACCCACTATGACCCATGATTGAGTAGTTTTAATTAAGTTCGGTTAGGGTATTGGGGGAAGGGTGCATTATTTAGCCCCTCATTAATAGTTAATGTGAATATTATAAATATCTCTGTAACTATTATAGTTTGAGAATCTTTCTTTTTTATTGAATTTATTGTTTTCTTTGCTACAGAGCAATACCATTTGGGGAACTCTGTCTCCTAGGAGTTTTAATGCTACCCCACTTCCAGCACTATAAAACAGAGGCCTGCTGTTTTAATCACGCCTCTCTCTCTCTCAATGTTGTTTGCGCCCTGGTACAACCCATCTGCCTTGAATCTAGTGCTCCACTGGGGCTGCACACATCTGCCAGCCAGACTACCTTCGTACACAATTACTCAATCCTCCGTAAGGCTCTTTAATAGGAAACAAGTGTGACAACGGCAAGCCTCTTTTTTTTTTTTTTTTTTTTTTTCCTCCTCTCTCTTAAACCACAGAGTCAAATAGCTCTAATAGAGATGAAGCTGGATAGATCCGCCCAGGTGTAGGTGAAATGGTAGAGCCTCAGGGCTAATAGATGCTGTGCTCTCATGCTGAAGTTTAGCACTGTGTCCTGTTGGGCTCTCTAGCATCAGTGCGACGGGCTGCTCCTGGTACAGTTACAAAGTGAACACGCTTCTTGCTGCTCACGTTTATGCCTAATCCGGAGGGCAACCTGGAGCTAGGTAAGAACAGAACAGCCCTTTGACTTCAACGCATGGACAAAGGACAACGAATGCAGTAAGTGGAAAAAATTATCTTTCTTTCTTTTACTTGGGAATTAATTAAGGGTGTTTACTCCCAGGGAATCCTCTAAAGACTGTGCAAAAGTGAACTAAGACAAAGCTTATGTTCATAACCCCATGAATTTTCTCCAGTTTCATTTTGCACAATGCCCTGGCACTGTCATTAATACTTAAATACTCCTGAAGTGACTCCTCATTCAGAAGGTCTCGGAACTGAAATGTGGTGCTAATAATACTGTTAATTCAATCCTGTATTTTGGCATATTAACTGCTACTTCTGGGTGAAATGTCCTTTATTACTGTCAAAAATGATGGTGGCAAGTGTTTTGTCAGTTTCAAGAACACAAAAAAGAATCTTTAAGAAGCACATACCCTTCTTGAAAATGGATTTCACTTTTATGCATAACTATACTGCTACATTACTCCTCATACATTGATGTGAGGAATTTGCTTATAATTTTTGCTTAACACATCTGTTCTATAGCTTGATCTCTTACTAGAAAAGTGACACTAAAAACTCCTTTAAAAGAATATTAGGTTGTAGCAGCAATGACAATGGGAGTGAATTTTTAAAACAAACAAAACAAAACAAAAGGTCATTTGTCTAATAACATAAGAAGATATATTAAAACCAGATGTATGAAATCTCAACTTTGACTTTTTAGTCTTTCATGCTTGGTTTAAAGCAGTCTTCACTTTGCGTTTATTTTGCATTTACAACTTTGGATTCACCATTAAACTATGTTTGAACTTGAAGTTCAGATTTGATCTAGGTACGGACTTGTTCCTTGAGCCCCCTACTCTGATTTTTACTTGACTATGGGGAATCTTTTTACTACCATACCATATATTCTGAATTGTGTTAACAGGCTAACTGTGGTGGACTTTCAGGTGGAATGTCAGCCAATGTAAAAGAACATGTTTGCTGCTCAAATGTATGATGCTTCATGTAAGAAATAAACATATGCCCTACCAAAGATTCCAGTCATTATTTCTAAATTAATCCATCAAATATTGCACAAAGCTGATCAGATTAAAGAAAATGCAACAAAAACTGTCCGCACTTCTTATCTATTAATAGTCCTTTGAGTTGATTTTTAAAAATTTAACCATTATTAATTTGAAAAATTAGTCTGGAAGACATTGTCATCTCAAAAGGCAGTGCACATATGTAGAGTAGATAGACAGGCAAAATTAGACAAAACAGTATTGCACTGTTTACATAATTCCCCATCGGCTAATGTTTTGTTTTTATTTTCTAACTATTATAGATGGACATCATTAAAAATGATGATTTAAAAGCCATGACGGTAGAATCCTGATGACTCCTTTGTGTATATTCAGAAATGATTTAGCTTGGATAAAGTTGCTGCTATGAGAGGTTTAATTAATTATTTCTAGTTAAATATATTTCTTTAAGAATTGCATTTGACATTACTGATGGAGGAGTAAACGGAGTTTCACAGTCATTCTTCATGAAATACTTTAACCGACAATCGTTGGCATTGAATAGCGGTCAATGTCTACCCCCTACAGGGAGAGATTCTAATTTCACTATGCCTTCCCCAGCACATGAATGCCATAGAGTACAGTTCACACATATGAATGCCGTAACCGTGTCAATGACTTCAACAAGTGCCCCTTAATGAAAAGGTCAGCCCTGTGATTAATAGGAAGCTGGTTTCAAAGGCTGGACCTCACTTCAGCACAGCATTTAGATTTGTTTTTTCTTGATTTACTCCATTTGCCTTTCAAAGTGTAATAAAAATCAAGTAGTATTATATTGCACATTTTTAATGCATTGTGGTTGCTTTCATATGATAGCAACACAACAGTATATTTGGTTTAGTAAAGAAAAAATAACAACTACGTGAAAAAAATCAATCGAGCTAGTAATTGGTGAATGAAAATTTTACTCTTTATCCAAATGGAATATATAAACTTCGCTTAAGTTTCAGTTAATTTAATGAACTTTTAAAAGGCTCTGTAGGGATAAAGGTAGAGTGGGGAAAAGGTTTGATTTTTTAACCTAAGTTTATTATGCTTAAATGTGCTAGCAAGTGAATATACACAAGTAACTCAGGAAGATAGTGGTTTTTCACTAATGGCGAAAAATCATTGATGAATATAGCTGAGTGAGGATGAAGAGAATAATTTTAAGCCTAGTGACAATCTCAAAGGATCAAATTTATAATAGTGGTGGTGTTACAGTCTTTCAAGTTAAAGGGTTTTTTTTTGCTGGAAAAACATTGTGGTTATATCCAACTTATATTTTTTAAGTGATTCTTTTTTACTGGAATTATAATTTGTTAATAAATATCATATAAAGTTAAGGAAATGAATAAATCAAGTGGTCCTTATATATTTTAAATTTTTTTCATGTATTATTCATTTTGTGTCCCTGTAGATTTTATCTACACATGTTTTCAAATAAGATTGCAATATAAGTAATTAAAGAATACAAATAATATAAGTATATATACTATATTTATCACATATGAAAATTGCTATATGATTAGAGGAAAGTCATTAGAAGACATAGGATATATCAACTTATTCTAAGGGATATTCTCTTTGTAATACATTTTCTTTTTTAACCACATGTCAACACATATAGAACTTAATAACTTCATGTTCACTTATAGTGAAGGAATTATATTAGATATCAAGACTGAAAGTGTAGAAAAAAGGAGTTCAGTTTTGAATGCCAATATCACACAAGAGGAGTTTTCAACAGCCACTCAAGGAAGAGAAAAATCTAGTACTTCTGTAAAATGGGCCCAGTGCTTCCCAGATGTGTCACATTTTGTCAATGGCCACAGCTACATCTTCCCAGTACTCTATTATTCAAAATTCCATTTTTTTTTTTTTTGCTCTGAATTGGAAACCAACTACTTCCAGAGTTCTAATGAATAACATTAGTGGGGCTCTCACAATATAAATTCCTTGAAACTGCCCTAAACATGCCGTGATTTATTTAGTTCTTATAGTCCAATGAAGTAGGCAGCGTTCCTCTTCCCATTTACGAATGCGAAAACGGATTGGTTAAGGGACTTGCTTAGCGTCATGCAGATAGTGATATGGTTTGGCTCTGTGTCCCCACCCAAGTCTCACCACGAATTGTAATAATCCCCATGTGTCAAGGGCAGTACCAGGTGGAGATAATTGAATCATGGAGATGGTTTCCCTCATGCTGCTCTCCTGATAGTGAGTGAGTTCTCACGAGATCTGATGGTTTGATGAGAGGCTTCCTTCTTTGCTCAGCACTCACTCTGTCTCCTGCCACCCTGTGAAAAAGTGCTTTCTGCCATGATAGTAACCTTCCTGAGGACTCCTAAGCCATGTGTAACTGTGAGTCAATTAAACCTCTTTTCTTTTTTAAATTATCCTGTCTCAGGTATTTCTTCATAGCAGTGTGAGAACAAACTCATACAGGTAGTAAATAGTGTAATTTGGGTTCAAATTAACTTTGCTTGAGGGAAGATGCTACCCCAACAGCCGGAATCTACTACCTCTCTAATGGGTGACTTCATTATTAGTGAAAAGTTGGCTTTATCTCTGACCATCTTATCTGGACTACTTGAATTTAGAACGAAGGTACAGAATGAAATTGATGGAATGCCCAATCAAATAAAGCGTGAGTAGTTGGTTGTCAATCAGTGAGTATGATCTCACTTCAGGTTACGTCACTCAGTACTTTACCCCACTATTTTCAGAGGTTTTACTATAGGTAAAGAAGGAGTTGCAGTTATATTTCTGACATGTGAGGAAGAGCTGACCCTTCAACTCTCACTCATTTCACATGTCCACACCTGTTAATAGTGGGCCTCTGGGAAGTTTGTCTCCTCAGGGTATTTCCAACCCACTGATGTCTGCCTGACTGACAAACAGAGATCACTGTAATCACAATAGTCTTTCAATGAGAGTCACCTAAACACATTCCCACCTGCAAGGCAGTGAAAAAAAAAAAGAGCTGTCAACCACTTTCAAAGACTTTTAGGCCTCAGTTATTCAATAGGACTATCTGGATATTTGTTTTTTGAAAGATAGAATGCCAATTGAATTTTCTCCTTATCTGTGGGGAGTATGTATATATGTATGCATGTGTATGTGTGTGTGTGTATATATATACACGCTTGGGTGTGTGTGTGTGTGTATATACATATATACACACACGGTTGGTATATATATGTGTGTGTATATATACACATACACACACACACATATATACACGCTTGGTAGACTTGTAAAAAACATAGCCTGGAAAACACCTTTTTGTAATATTTCATTTAAAATATAATTTCCTATAACCTACATATGTGGTATGTCTATCTAGCAGAAAACATTCTTCTCAAGACAGACATTCATCATTATGATTGAGATTCTTAGTGAAGATAATAAAAACAAAATCCTTATATCTTGTATTTTCAATATTATGGGTTTATCCTTTCCCATATAAACACAGAATATTCATTTTAAAGAGAGATTTTATTTTATTTTTAACAGTCCATATTATTATAATTATTAAACTAATACGTAGTTTACTTTTACAAACACAAGCAGACTTATGCAAGGCAAATGGAATGAACATGGGGAAATTCCTTCAAACCTGAGCAACACCAACTCATTTTCTACAAAAGAGTAGGTAGAAATAAATGTTCCTTTAATTCTCATTTTTCCTTTGGTTTACATAAAAGATATCTAAATATGATCAGCATTTATAAAGTCATAGACTATTCTTATTTTTTTAAAGAGGAAAAAACAGGCTTTAAAAACTAATCTCAAGATCCTGGAAAAATTAATCTGTGGTGACAGGATCTGAAAGCTCTAAATACCTTGAGGATTGATGATTACTTGAAAACAGTGGTCAAAGACTTCCTCTATCACTATCATTAGTCAGGAGATCCACAGGTTAATTTCTTGAAGTTAATCTTATCCTCATAAATCCTTTTTGAATTATCCAGTAACTACTTTATTTTTATTTGTAGGTTCATC